TAGATTATACATTTTAAAAAAATAAATATATATTTTATTTTTTATAACCATGTACTTCTGACAGTTTTGTTATATAATTTACTGTTTCATACATAACTTTATACTACATCATCATTGGTAATAATATAAAGTATATCTACTTTTTCTCTACTTTTTTGAAATTAGTTTTTTATTAATAATGCATAAATCTTGTTTAAGTATCTCCTTAGAAGTGTTAGAAGCAAGCATACGATTGCTTGAGAGAATGTATCACACAGGAACATAACAAAGATAGATATACAGGCTTTATTAATTCTAGAGGATATGCATTTTGGACAATATGTCCCTCATTGTTCCTCTTTATTTTACATCAATCTAGTTATAAAATCACAGAAGTTGCATATTATTTTAAAAGTGGCAACTGGATAAATAAATAACCATAACAGTGAAATACCTAAGTACTGTAAATTGTAAATTAAATAAACTACAAAAAGTTTAAAATAATTAATAATTAATTAATTATTTTAAACTTAAAATAATAATTAAAATAAATATGGTGGTATATGGTTTATTTCTTCTTTTTGCATTGTCATATTATTATTGAATAATTTAATTTTGTTGATATTTTTATTTTTGTTGATAATTTAATTTTGTTGATATACATGTTAAAGATGTTCTTTTTCATATATGTGGGTGAATTAGAATTATTTAATATTAAATTAATATATTTAATAAATGTTTTCTCTAGACAATTAGTATTAACTTTTGCACTGTACCGCTGTCTTCATTTGCAATTCATTAAATCACACGATCCTGTTTCAAGTTTTAATTTTAACCTGTTCTGTTCTGTTGGATAAAACCAAAGAATTCACAAACTCTTTGGTTTTATCCACAAACAAACAATTGCCTTAAATAATCAGGCTATAAATCCACTATTTTAATGATTAATACTAAGTAAACTACTAGAGGTAAACATTAGGTGCCACCTCTTATCTAAATTAATAATTATAATTTTAATAATTTATTAAATAATTTAGAATTGTTTGGAAGAAAAGAATTGGCCCAAGTGGACTTGAACTTGCAACCTCCTCTTGATGTGCAATGCTCTTGCCAATTTTTCCACAAGTTTCAGAGAAGGTTCATGTACTTTCCCATACTTTAGTGCCACTGTTGTGCTGTCATTAAGATACTGAAAGAACTATGGAACTGCAGAACTATAGAATTGAGAATATAATTGATTTTGAAATTACTAATAAAAATTTGTTCATAATACTTACTTTGTTAGTAATTGTAAGGATTTTTATATATTAAATTATAGAGAGAGTATTTTCAATAATTTTTACACAAGCTTAAATTATTGATAAATGATACTTGACTTTAAAATAATTTAAAATTAATATTTTATACCTTTTATTTAGATGCCTTATTCAATTGGAATTACTATATTTTAATTTTTTTTTCTCTAGAAAATAATTGGCTTCTATAATTTTACTAATATTCCACTGTTATTATCTATCAGGAAATATTTATATCGCCGTTTAATTCATAAAGTAGTCCAAAATATTCACAGAATATCATAGAATTAAGTCTAATGCAAAATTTTCGGATTTTTGCATAGTTTCTTCTACAAACTTGTATTTTCTAATTTATTTTCATCAATTAGTAGTATAAAATCGTTGAATAATGACATGAGAGAATGGAATAATTATTNGAACTGCAGAACTATAGAATTGAGAATATAATTGATTTTGAAATTACTAATAAAAATTTGTTCATAATACTTACTTTGTTAGTAATTGTAAGGATTTTTATATATTAAATTATAGAGAGAGTATTTTCAATAATTTTTACACAAGTTCAAATTTTTTCTATCATAACGAAAAAAGCGTGGTGGAGAAATATCTTAAAACCAATAAAAATTTAAAGTAAAATTAAGAAAACCTAAATCATATATTTTAATTTTTTTTTCTCTAGAAAATAATTGGCTTCTATAATTTTACTAATATTCCACTGTTATTATCTATCAGGAAATATTTATATTGCCATTTAATTCATAAAGTAGTCAAAAATATTCACAGAATATCATAGAATTAAGTCTAATGCAAAATTTTCAGATTTTTGCATAGTTTCTTCTACAAACTTGTATTTTCTAATTTATTTTCATCAATTAGTACTATAAAATCATGGAATAATGACATGAGAGAATGCCATATTTGGAATATCCAGCTGTATTTGAATATCTTATTATCTGAATATAAAAGTAAAGCCTATGATTACCAAGAAGTGCTTAAGTATAGGAGTCTTGATTTTTATAATTATTTTTCAAGTGGTAAAGCAAGTGAAATTTTAATAATTAATAAATTGTCATAAAACACTTGTGTCCTTAAGACAAATGTGTGAATGCTCCACATTTGCAAGTACTCTTGCACCCTATCTGCAATTAATCATTTTGTATGGACTTGTGTGTCTTATGATGGCAAAGTTATTTATCTAGCTGGATGTACTGTACATGCATGGCTGGTTACCATTCTCCTTAAATTTTTATCATGTGGAAAGTAATGTAACTGGAATGATTGAATATATGGACTATCTTGATGTGTCATGTTTTCATGTATGTCACATACAGCTTCAAACCACTTATAAAGAACATTTTGGCCATTATGGTAGCCAACCATTCCACAATATCTATTTGAACTGACTCTATAAAGCATGTTGCCAATGAGAAACTAAAAATTGCAGACCTACACTAACTAATAGTAGTATTTTAATGGCAGCCAAGATATATGCCGTCGTGTGGCAGAATTCAAAAACATGTTCTGGAAACTTGTGGATCTATCTTCCATATGATTAAGAAATGATCCATTCCTTCACCTTTATATAAAATAATACATTAAACTTTTGAAGCCATGTCCTCTTTTGAAAATATCAAACTTTTAGCTAACTATACTGACAGTAGTGTTTAATTTACACTTTGTTATTATGTGAAACTAAAGATATAATCTGTATTAAAATGCTTTAAAGTATACTCAAATTAAAGCATTTTAATAATTTTTCTTATAATTTGAGATTTTGGCACTATTTTTGGGGCAGCAATTTTGGCATTAAAAAAATTTTAAACTTTTTTTTAATAGTAAGAGTAAAATTATCAACTATTCTGAGAGTTGACAATTACAAAAATTATATGACAGTCATTGAAAAATGTCTAAATAGGTTTGATGTGTATTATTTATTTTCCAAAGGCAGGTGGAAATTGACAGACCACCCTGGATGGCTCAAACTGTAGCTATGCCACTGTATGTGTCCATGGTTTCAATTTTGTCACCCCATTCAGGATGATGACTTCAGAGAGAGTTTTGCACAAAGGGATTTCAAGTTCAGTTGGTCATTGATTGAGTAAAGGGGTGATTGACATAAGGAGGATTAAAAACAATGGGTTCTATGGAAAGAGGTGGTTATTTAGAGAGGTTTTACTTTAGTTATGGATATATTGAATTTACTTTAACTGCAGTGGTTTCTCTCAAAATCTATTTACATTAATTTATGACTATTAATATATAATAAATGTTAGGAATAGTGATGTAACGAATATTTGGTTACTATTCGGTATTCGGCCTATTTTTCACTATTCGGCCGAATACCGAATACCTAAAAACAAGAGTAATAAATAACAAAAACACAGTAAATTAATAGTTTTGGTATTTAGATTTAATGTTATCGAGTTAGTGTTGTTTGTTTATATTTATTTATAACTTGTAACATGCACAAAATAAAAAAGAAAATAATATTAGTCACATGTATTCACAATTTATAATTACAAAGATCAGCACACGTACATGTCTATCGTTGGAGAATCCTCGCACATCTGAGGGTCTGACCCTGTCTATCCTTCTTTTTAAGCACTCGTCTTTGCTCTTCCCTTTCTCTTTCCTCTATTGCTCTAATCCATGTATGCCTGTGCATACATCATAATACGTGCTCACGATACTTTCAATTCGTCACTTTTCCGTCGTACAGCTCCCATTTTACAATTACGTGACTCAGCCTGGTGATAACGGAGGAAAGAGACAGATGGGACGTCGATATAAGTCACAGTTATGATTTCACAGATTCGAGACAGCTTGATAGCCCGAACAGCCCCAGGCTTTCGCCCATGCACGCTAAGTGACTTTCATTACAAGAATTTAGCTTTCTGAAGTCTATGACAACAATTGTTTGGCATTGACGGCCGTGAATTTCGTGCCAATAAACTTATTCGATTATGTTATCAACTCAATTTCATATTTATTTTCACATTTTCACTTCGCGGTCCTTCTCTGTTCTTTTTTCGTTATTTACACATGTAGGTCATTTCATCGTTATCCACATTTGATATCATCATTTATCACATACTGCCATGACACTCTTGTCTGTTCGCTACAACTGCCAAGAATTAATGCGATTGGCGAAGCATAGTGACAGCGGGCCAATAGAGAGCAGGATCCTTGCCATAATGCGGTTTGCGTGCCAATTTTCGTACATGCGTTAATCAAGCTGAATAGTTTGGCCGAATATTCGGCTATTCAGCCACGCTCTTGGCTGAATATTCGGTATTCGGCCTGAGGCCAAATATACTATTCGTTACAACACTAGTTAGGAATGATGTATAAAATTTGAAAAATTGTCTTTATTATTAATTTTGATATATGAATGTATAGACGATATACATTAATATACGAAAGAACAAAATATAAACTTTTAGAACTTTTATTAGCAGAATTTTTTTACATAATTATATTTGTTTTTTTTTATAAAATCACAAATAAATTTATTAACTTTTTGTTTAATAGTTAATCTTTAAGAACCACTCTTTTCTGGCAAAACTCATTTAATATTGATAATGACTGAATTACATAGTTCTGGATTATTTTATTTATTGTTTTTATTATTATTTCTGTTATCTTCCCCTTCTTAGCTTAAATTATTGATAAATGATACTTGACTTTAAAATAATTTAAAATTAATATTTTATACCTTTTATTTAGATGCCTTATTCAATTGGAATTACAGTTAGTAATCCAGAAGCCTTAGGTTCACCTCAGCTAAACATTAGTCATCGTGGAACTATTCCTACACAAGAAGAAGGTAAGTTCTTATTTACCTGCTTTGATGTAAAAAATATCAAAACACTTAATTTTCTCTTGTTATTCATGGGTAAAATGTTCTGATGCATTTCAGACCCTTAATTTTTGGCAAATGAATTCAGTTTTAATAATTGATATGGTTTTTTTTATTTTGTGAAAGACAAGTTATTGGGATATAACAAGTTTGTTAATGTTATACAATATATTAGAAAATTTTATTTGGATGTGACATAATAGAGAAATAATTAGCATGAAATGATTAATTAAAATTATTTTTAATAATGCAGTGAATCCAATATTAAAAGTATCACAAAATAAAATACTAAAACTAATCTAAACTAAATTGATAGACTTTTGTACAACAATGACAAAGGAATTAGTGGTAGAAGTTTCATTATATTAATTCACAGTATGGAATATAGCAGTATTACATTATAAAAGAATAATATGGTAAATTAAACTAGGGTAATAACTTTATACCTGACAAAAGCAAAAAAAAACTTTGAAATCAGAATTATCAATATACAATATGTATTTTATAGAGAATATAAAATTTATATTCTGTATTAAGAATTTATATAAAATTTTATGTTAATCAATCTGCTATTTTGTTTGAGTGCTAGAGTTCTTCCAGTTTGAAGTGGAAGAACTCTTCTTTTTCTTTCTTTATTTCATGCCTTCTCTCTTTCCCACTCTTTTCTTGAAGGCTCCAGAACAAGAATCTTGTCTTTCCTCTTCCAAAAACATTTTTTCCCAAACTGTTTCTTATGATGAGATTGAGTTAGTCCTTGAGAAGTTGGTTCAGATTAAAGGCATTGAGGTGCCACAATATTCTATAGCAGTGTTTTCCAACCTTTTTTGTGCTATGCCCCACCTAAGCCTTTCTAAAATTCTTATGCCCCCTAACATATACAGCGGCTATACAGTTAAATTAACTTAAACTCTGGATGAGTCCATTTTTGAATTGTCCCCTTAACAATCCAACTGCCCCCTGTGGGGCATGGTCCCTACATTCTATAGCCTACTGTTCTATAGCATTTCTGTTCTATGATAATTGATTTACCTGCATTGAATAGTCCTTTCATTAGGCACATCTTCTATATACAGTGAAACCTCCATTAATGGACACTTCTAAATAGTGGACACCTCTACTTAACAGACATGTTTACTATCTCCAGATGTTACAGATGTTCTTTCAAATAGGATATCTATAATATTTACCTCTAAATAATGAATGTCATTGTCCATAATCTACCTACCTTATGAAAACACAAAATCTCATCTTCAGTATTCTGAAAGAATTAATTATGTATGAAATATTTTAAAATTAAAACAAAGAATTAGATCAAATACTCTTTCAGAGGACAAATTTTGACCATAAGTGTCAAATAAAATGTGGCTTAAAATAGGAATAGGGGAGGTAGGCAGATTGTAAAAAGCTGAACAAAACTGTCTGTTAGAGAAGATTAATCTCGTTAAAGTTGTCAATCACCATTTATCATCATACATGTTAATGTTATTAAACGTCTGTCTTATTGTTGGAATTAAGCTTATGGTACCAAGAAACCATAAAATTTTCTGAAGTTATTCATTCATTTGACAAGAATCATAGCACAGCAGTAATGAAAAAAAACAGTTTTAAGGTTAAGACAACAGTGTTTATTTGGTGAAAGTTCAGAGATCATGTTATGAAGGCAATTTGCCAACCACTTTAAATGTAGGATGATCACTGTATCGATTTTTATTAATCACTTAGATCATAAATGACATTATAAATGCAAGAATACAGAATACATTTCTTACCCCTTGAAGTGTCTAGCAAATTGCCTTCGTAACTAGACATTCAAACTCTCGTTGCCTAAACAGACCTTCATCCATCCTTCTGTTCGTAATAATGGTTTCTTTTTTTCTTTGTTTATTTCACTCAGGCCATTTTTGATGAATTAATGATAGTTAATCAACGTTTACATTTTGTTCTAATTTTTATGTTCCATTTAATTAAAGTACAGTCTGTTTGCTATTTAGAATTCAATTAAAATGTAATTTTTACAGCTGAAAAGTTATAAAAAGAATATACTCTATATATATATATATTTTAATTATATATACTACGTATATTTTTTGGTATTTTCACATTCCTAACACAAATTTGATGTTTTCATTATCCATTGTATTCTTCACTTTATAATGACCAGGTTAAAATAACTTACAATATGGTTGTTGGCACGTACAGTACTTTTGAATAGTGGGCAAACTTCTCAGTTCGGACAGTGTCTGCTATTCAGAGGTTATACTGTAAATAAGAATAATTTTTACAGTCAATATACTTTGTGGCCGTGAGTGGTCTAAAGAGATAAAAAGTTACCCAACTATTCAATTTTTTTAATAATTGCATAATATGTAAAGTAAGCAACTTGAGAGAATTTACTTGTGTTATGATTTTTGATACCAGTTGTGCTTGTTTAACATTTCAGATAAAGTAAATCTAGACTTTTTCTTGAACAACAGCATGTTGTTTAAAGTTTACAGAATGGCTTGACAAATGAAAAAGCATTTGACAATAACATTCCTGGGATAAAAAGCTCATTGATAAAAAAAAGAGAGAAAGTCAAATCCTTTAACAGAACACAACATACTTTATCACACAAGTAACAATACAGCATAACTATGGTGCAGAATCACATCTCTAACACACAAGTCACTGATATTTGTCTTGTATCAGCTAATGCAGGAAATATCCATATTCAGCATCTTTTCAGTTGAAAACAAAATATTTTAATAGGCATATGATCATCATCAATGGATAAAGTTGAGTAGAAAAATATTACCTGTTTGTTGAGTCCTGACACCTTTTGCATGGTAGGATGATAGAAGTGTCAAAATTTGCTATTGATGTCATGCAATCATACAAATTTACTATTGATATCAATAGTGCAGATTGATAGTAGTGATATATCAGTGATAGTGTAGAGAATAATTACTAATATATACAAGGTGTGGCAATTTAATTTCTGGAATGTACAGTACCTTTAAAAAATATACATGTTGAAATGTACCGTAGTGACTACCATTACCTTCAAAGTACGCCTTTTGTCTGTACACTGACTGAGATAGCATTCCCATTTCTGGAAGCAGGTCTGGAATTCATTTTCTGGAATACTGTTGAGTACCTCTCTGATATTCTGTTTGATATCAGTTATATTGGAAAATCTTCATCTCTTCAGTGCAGCTTTTAATTTCGGAAATAGCCAGAAATCACAGGAAGCTAAATCAGGTGAATAGGCAGTATGGTCTAATTGGATAATTGCTTTTTTGCCCAGAAAATCTCTCATTTTGAATGCACTATAACTTGGTGCATTGTCATAAGGAATGATCCACTTGTCTGGCCAAAATTTGGGTCTTTTTCTTTGAACTGAATCTTGTAATCTCTTCAACACCTAGGTAATAGCATTATTTGTTGACTGTTCCCTGTTCAATAAATTCTTTCTGGTGTATTTCTTTGGTCACAATGGAATAGTTCATCAAGGTCTTAAATTGTGTGTTGTGGCAGTACACCATAGTTGTTTTTTTTCTTTCTCTTACTCTGTAGTCTTTGTTCTTTATTTTTTTCTACAGTTTTAGAACTGTCTTTCTTCTTTACTGAAAGAGGGGGTCTATTCCAGTATTGAGGAAATGCCATCCTTCTGTTCAAGATAACTGGCCCAAACGATTTTGTGAACAGTATATATAAGAGTGAAGGAGTCTAGAAAAATAACTCTTCTGACTAGCCTTTGGACAGGAAAGGAAAGGAGATGGTTTTAAGAAGTGTATTGGTAAGGTGAGGTCCAGGAAGGTTAAACATATAAAACATTTTGGATTTTGAAAGTTCTTTTGTGAGAAGACAATGTCCCCATTTCTGTCAAGATTGAAGAAATTGTTCTGTTACCTGGGTGACCTAATTTTTCAGTGGACTTGATCAGCCAAAGAATTGGGGTACCCTTTGTTTTCTTCCAACTGTTGTTCTATCCTTGACTTTTGCCTGCTATCAGTAAAATCCTTTCTTACATTAACATAAGATTATTATTGATAGTTTTAAGTATTTAGTTTACTGTTTTGTTCTTGTGATAGATTAAGTCTTTGATGTTAGTTGGAATCCTTTGTATGCATTGTTGTCATTTTAGTTAAATTATTTTGTATTGTGCTGAATGTTTGTCAGGAGCACCTTCCTTGGTTGACATCATGGGTTGTGTTGTTGTAGTTTGTAAGAATTCCAGTGTTAATTAGAATAAAATTTTATTTGTTGTCACAATCTGTTATTTTAAATCATACATCTCACAGTGTAACATGCATACTTTTTTAGGGAATACTGAACATGGGGGATTTCTGTTGCATGTTCTGATGTTTTGTTTCTGGGTTATATTGGAAGCACCAAGTTTCATCCCTTATAATTATGCTTGGAAACAGATATGTTTGAAGAAAGATCAGTTACAATTTCAAGCTGACACTGTTTCTGTTCATTTATCAAGATCCGAGACACAAAAGTTCACTATTACAACTAACATTAGCCATCTTTCTTGTTACATGTGTAGAGTGCCCTGTAGAACAAGGTCTGCAGGGCTAGACAAAAAAAAAAAAAAAAAAAACAACGGACAAGTTGGCTCAACAAATATCTAGTTTTTAATTAATTTCCGTTAGGTACAAATGTGATATTTACATAGGGAGTGAACTATTGACAAAATTTTGTTATATCCAAGTGGTACAATCATACACTACATACACTTGCATCTTTCCTCTCTTTCTTTCCCCAACTTTGGGGGGCTCATGACAAGTGATAAAGCGGGACAACGAATGGCGCATAACAAAAAAAAATATATACTAAGTTACTCACGACAATCTTACACCGCGTACAAACATTTGAAGGAAAAAACTAATCTCTTCGAATGAATCCTCCGCCAATCATTTTTCTCTTGAACAAGTTGTATTTCACTGCCACACTGTCCTTATTTAGATGCAAATGGATTT